ATAAAATTAGTATATAAATTAAATCATAATACTGTCATTTAACAGTGACTAAATCCCCCATATTTATTAATATTAACCATTAATTAAGCATTAATAAAAGTCAATGTAGCTCATACTTATAAAAAGTCAACATATGTCATCAACGTAGGATTGGATCGTAATCCAATCACCACCCAAAGGTAATTCTGATGGTAAATCACAACCGATTAGTATCACGACTTGAAGGTGACTTTGGTGATAAGAACATATCCCACAACATTTTATCGGTTCGTGTTTTTTTAATTTTTTTAAAAATTTGAAAGATATTAATAATTTTTTTTTATAAGAGTATTATTGAAATATATTTTTAGATAAAAAAAAAATAGAGATATTTTAATTAATTTGGCGCAATAAATATCATTATAAAATTTAGATAAAAAAAAAAGGTAAATACATTGTAATTTAATAATAAAAGGAAATAACACACGTTTCCGTTTCCCAAGGAAAGTGGGACCCACACACTGGGTCAGCGGTCAGCATTGCCCGCTGATAAACAGCCCAAGCACCGGCCCAATTGCCACGTTATAAAATCCCTAAGTTTCCCATTATTAAAAAAAAGCCACTTATTTTCTTGTCCGCCTAATATATATATAAATCATTCTCAGTTCTTCGACGCGATTTTAAAGGCGGACTTTTTTCTCCAACAATCCCTCGCTGCCACTCGCCAAGGTATTTCCTGGTTCTTCCTTCTTTTCTCTCTGTAACTTTCAGATCCGCCTTACACTTTCACTCTCCTGTTCTATATATCTGTTCGTTTTCTGCTCTTTGTATTACCCATTTGTGTACAGATTCATCTTTAGGTAAATGAGTTTTTATATTTTGTGAGATCTCTGCGCTCCCGCTTTCTGGCGTTGTGATCTCTTCGCTTGGATTTGCTGGTTCTGTGTTGTTGTTGTTCTTGTTAGATTCAGATCTCATATAGTTTCCTCTTTTTATTAGCGTTTTTTTTTTCTTCCAAAAAACTTGATTTGATCTGCTATGATCCGGTAAATTCTGCTTCCGGAGTTTGTGGATGGGAATCTGGTTAATCTTTGTTTAGTTCTGTTTTGCTACGAGATTGAATTTTTATCTGCTCCTTCAGCTGTGGTTGTTAATTTTTTGCCTTTTCCCCGTTTATGCCCCTAATTTGGTTAGCTCAGGAAGGTTATGATCCTTATATGTTTTGGATCTGAATCAGGCGTGTGTGTTTCTTAAATTTTATATGTTTTGTAGAGATTTCGATGTTTTATGTACTCCACCAAGCGATTTGAGTTGTGACATTGAATATGTGTTATGCCTGATTTTCTTGTGGCTCTTTCCTTGGATTTTTTTCATTTTAGATTTAATTTCCTTGTAGTCGATTAATAGTTAATCTGTCGTAGTATTATTCAGTGTAAGCAACGTGTAAAGATGTTTGAAATGTTGTATCTGGAATATCAAATCTCTTTTATCTTCAATTTGTTATTTTTTTTCCTTCTGAATTTGAAGTGAGAATTTTTTATAATCTGATCTTGGGAATTTTTGCAGGGAAGAGAACTAGCCATGGCTGATCAGGTTCAACATCCCACCATCTATCAGAAGGTTGCTGGTCAGCTCTCCCTTCAGTCGAGGGTTGCTTCGGGATTCCGTGCTTGCGATGATGGCTTTAGGAACCCTGCTATCTATCAGAGACGTGCATCAATCAGCAATTATTCAAATGCTGCTTTTCAATACCCTGCTGTGCAATCCTGTGTTGCTACAACTGATCTTTCTAGGGTTGCCACTACTGCCTCCCCCATTTTTGTTGCGGCCCCTGCTGAGAAAGGAAACTTTATGCTTGACTTTCTCATGGGTGGTGTATCTGCCGCTGTATCCAAGACAGCCGCTGCCCCAATTGAACGTGTCAAGCTTTTGATCCAAAACCAGGATGAGATGATTAAAGCTGGACGTCTGTCTGAGCCATACAAGGGTATTGGTGATTGTTTCAAGCGTACAATCCAAGATGAGGGTTTTGGTTCTTTGTGGAGAGGAAACACTGCCAATGTCATCCGTTATTTCCCCACTCAAGTGAGTATTTTTCGTCCTTTGGCTGATTAGATCTCTCCTTTTTCTCAATTTTTTGTTGTGCTAATTGTTCTATTAAACTTTTTCCAGGCATTGAACTTTGCTTTCAAGGATTACTTCAAGAGACTTTTCAACTTCAAGAAAGATAAGGATGGTTACTGGAAATGGTTTGCTGGTAACCTGGCATCAGGTGGTGCAGCTGGTGCTTCATCCCTTCTTTTCGTTTACTCTCTCGACTATGCTCGTACCCGATTGGCAAACGATGCCAAGGCTGCGAAGAAAGGTGGTGGTGGAAGGCAATTCAATGGACTGGTTGATGTTTACAGGAAGACATTGCAGTCCGATGGTATTGCTGGTCTTTACCGTGGATTTAACATCTCTTGTGTTGGTATCATCGTGTACCGTGGTTTGTACTTCGGTATGTACGATTCTCTGAAGCCCGTTCTCTTGACCGGAAAGTTGCAGGTCAGTTTGGTTTTGATTTCATGAGTTCTTTTGTGTATGATTTGTCCATCGAAAAGTTGCAGGATGTCTGTGTTGAGATGTACTTGACATTTACTCCCGTTTATTTGGCTCTTCTACAGGATAGCTTCTTCGCTAGTTTCGCCCTTGGTTGGTTGATCACCAACGGTGCTGGCCTCGCATCCTACCCAATTGACACTGTTCGTAGAAGAATGATGATGACATCTGGTGAAGCCGTGAAGTACAAGAGCTCAATGGATGCCTTCTCTCAGATCTTGAAGAACGAAGGTGCCAAGTCTCTGTTCAAGGGTGCCGGTGCTAACATTCTCCGTGCCGTTGCTGGTGCTGGTGTGCTCGCTGGTTACGACAAGTTGCAGGTGATCGTGTTTGGAAAGAAATACGGATCCGGCGGTGCTTAACTTAAGCGGGGTAACATAGCCTCAATCACAGCTACTCCAGTTTTTAGAAGTTGATGAAAAATCTCTCGAAAGAGTTTGGTGGACTTTGGTCCGGCCGGCGGTTTTTATGTTTACCTCAAATAATATTTAGTTGTTGGAGGGAGGGAGTCATTCTCCTAAACCCATTTGTGAGATTGGAATGAATTTTTGTAGAACCTGTTTGATTAGTGTGGCGAACAGTACCACTCATTGTCTTGTTTTCAAAGTGTTCTGATTCAAATGAATTAAACCCATATTTTATTACGTTGTTTATCATTTCAATTGGCATGGGTATTTAGTGATGTCTCTTTTGGGATAATGGGTGTTTTCCTTTTCTCTCAAGTTCTGTTCAAAACCCGTCTAATCCCACTCTCTTGTAAATATCCGTCTATTCCCACACCTTTGTAAATAGAGTTTAAAGCCCGTCTATTCCCACACCTTTGTAAATAGAGTTTAGAACCCGTCTATTCCCACACCCTTGTAAATAGAGTTTAGAACCCGTCTATTTCCACACCCTTGTAAATAGAGTTTAAAACCCGTCTATTCCCACACCCTTGTAAATAGTGTTTAAAACCCGTCTATTCCCACACCCTTATAAATAGTGTTTAGTAGGCATTATTAGGTATGAGAAGTTTGAATGTCAATGCCCAATTTTTTTGATTTTTGAAGAGTCAGCGAAAGCAAATTGAATGTTTAGCTTTAATCAATTGCCTCCATTTCTTCGTGCTTTGTTTTGAATCTCTTTAGGTCATATTCATGTTTTTGTTGTCATTATGGCCTAATTATACCCTCATAACATTCACCATCTACCTACATTCAAAGAAAAAAATACATTCATGTCGGGATATTAATTATTATATTACATCACATTATCTCTGCTAATTTAAGAAAGAAATTTAATAATAATCAATCTTAAGGAATAAATTTAATAATTATCATCTTATAATGATAGCTATAGTAAGATATTTTGAATTTAAACCGATAGAATTTAATGATCTCTAGACGTCTAGACGTTTTTTATGATAATTTAAATTATTTTTAAAAATTTATATTGAAATTTTGAATTAAAAAATTAGAAAATTTAAATCCTATTAAGATTAAGAGTTTTTAAATAAAATGGGATTAAAAAAAAGAAATAATAAGAATCCTTTTTTCTCCCTCTCACATCAATAACTCCACCCCCTATAAGTAGTTTTAGACAGGTTTCTTTTGGAGTGATACCTGAATGCCAAGTATGGCTCGTAATAATCTATCTTCGGGGGCATACGATGATTCTTTCGCCATCTGAGGCGTTAATTTACCTACTAAAATATCGCCCGTCTCCACCCACGATCCCAGCATCACAATTCCATTTTTGTCTAAATTCCGGAGTAAGCGGGCTTCTAGATGTGGGATTTCGTTAGTGATTCTTTCAGGTCCGTGGCTTGTCACATGAGTTTGAATTTCATATTTCCGTATGTGGAAAGAAGTATAAATATCTTCATATATCAGATGCTCGCTAATTAGTACAGCATCTTCAGAATTGTAACATTCCTATGGCATATAAGCTACTAATACGTTTTTTCCCAACGCAAGTTCGCCACTAACTGTAGCAGCATCGTCTGCTAAAATTTGCCCTTTTTTAATACATTTACCCTGGTGAACCTGAGATTTTTGCTGCATACAAGTATTTTTATTAGAACGTTGATACAAAAATAATGGAATAAGTAAATTTTGATGGTGTTTCAAACTTATCTTAATAAATATAAATTTTGGGTAAAAAATAAAATCAATTTAAAATTTTCGGAGATAATTTCCAAAAAAAAAAAATTAATTTTTTTTAAAAAAATTAAATATTATAATCCTCTCAATCTACATGACAAGCCTATGAGTTTTTTTTTTTCTTATTTAATTGAGGAACGGGTTAAATGGACATTTCACACCTCGGTTCTAAGGATACTTTGAATATGTTGGGTTTTTCGGAGTACAATCCGGCCCGGCCCAATGGCCCATTTTAAACCTCCAATCAAATAAAATGCCTAATATATATATATTCTCCCGTCTGTTCTCCAACGCTATTTTATAGGCGGACTCCTTTCTCCAACAATCCCTCGCTGCCACTAGCTAAGGTATTTCCCATTTCTTCCTTCTCTCTCCCTTTTACTTTCAGATCCGCCTTACACTTTCCATCTTGTTTCACTCTTCTGATCTATATATCTATCTGTTCATGTTACCGCACTTTGTGTACAGATTCGTAGGTAAATAGGTTTTTATATTTTGTGAGATCTCTTTGTTCCCGCTTTCTGGGATTGTGTTTTCATGGCTTGGATTTGCTGCTCTTGTGTTGTTGTTCTTGTTAGATTCAGATTTCATTAGTTTCCTGTTGTTTTGATTTCATCTGCTGTGATTCGGTTTAATGTTAGGGTGAAATTCTGCTTTGCGAGTTGATGGATGGGATGCTGGTGTGGTTTGATTTTTTTGATCTTTGTTAGTTTTGTTTTGTATCTTCCATTTGATTCTTTTTAAATTTTTGACCTTCTACCTTTATCTGTGTCAATTTTGTTCGCTTAGTCCGAAGGTTTATGATCCTAATATATTTGGATCTGAATCTGGCGCCTGTTTCTAAAATGTTATTGTCTTTATAGCGATTTTGACGTTTTATATATTTCATCAAGTGATTTGCAGTGACATGGAATTTGTGTTACGCCTGATTTTCTTTGAACTCTTTACTGGGGTTTTGTTATTAGATTCAATTGCCTTGTAGTCGTTCTATGGTTGTTCTGTCATACTATCGTTAGTTTTGTGTAAAGATGTTTGGCATGTTGACTCTGGAACATCTGAAACTCTCCTTTAGATTTATTTTATTCTTTGTACAACTGGAGTATAACTACTGCATTTTTGTTGTGAAGTCTTGTCTCTTTCACCTTTAATATAGATGTTTTTTTTTTCCCTTCATTTGAATACGCAATGAGGATTTTTCATCGTCTTATTGGGATGTTGGGATTTTTTGCAGGGAAGAACTAACCATGGCTGATCAGGTTCAACATCCCACCATCTATCAGAAGGTTGCTGGTCAGCTCTCCCTTCAGTCGAGGGTTGCTTCGGGATTCCGTGCTTGTGATGATGGCTTCAGGAACCCTGCACTTTACCAGAGACGTGCATCAATCAGCAATTATTCAAATGCTGCTTTTCAATACCCTGCTGTGCAATCCTGCGTTGCTACAACTGATCTTTCTAGGGTTGCCACAACTGCCTCCCCCATTTTTGTTGCGGCCCCTGCTGAGAAAGGAAACTTTATGCTTGACTTTCTCATGGGTGGTGTCTCCGCCGCTGTATCCAAGACAGCCGCTGCCCCAATTGAACGTGTCAAGCTGTTGATTCAAAACCAGGATGAGATGATTAAAGCTGGACGTCTGTCTGAGCCATACAAGGGTATTGGTGATTGTTTCAAGCGTACAATCCAAGATGAGGGTTTTGGTTCATTGTGGAGAGGGAACACTGCCAATGTCATCCGTTATTTCCCCACTCAAGTGAGTATTTTTCGTCCTTTGGCTGATTAGATCTCTCCTTTTTCTCAATTTTTTGTTGTGCTAATTGTTCTATTAAACTTTTTCCAGGCATTGAACTTTGCTTTCAAGGATTACTTCAAGAGACTTTTCAACTTCAAGAAAGATAAGGATGGTTACTGGAAATGGTTTGCTGGTAACCTGGCATCAGGTGGTGCAGCTGGTGCTTCATCCCTTCTTTTCGTTTACTCTCTCGACTATGCTCGTACCCGATTGGCAAACGATGCCAAGGCTGCGAAGAAAGGTGGTGGTGGAAGGCAATTCAATGGACTGGTTGATGTTTACAGGAAGACATTGCAGTCCGATGGTATTGCTGGTCTTTACCGTGGATTTAACATTTCTTGTGTTGGTATCATCGTGTACCGTGGTTTGTACTTCGGTATGTACGATTCTCTGAAGCCCGTTCTCTTGACCGGAAAGTTGCAGGTCAGTTTGGTTTTGATTTCATGAGTTCTTTTGTGTATGATTTGTCCATAGAAAAGTTGCAGGATGTCTGTGTTTAGATGTAGTACTTCTCATTTACTCCCGTTTGTTTGGCTATACAGGATAGCTTCTTCGCTAGTTTCGCCCTTGGTTGGTTGATCACCAACGGTGCTGGCCTTGCATCCTACCCAATCGACACTGTCCGTAGAAGAATGATGATGACATCTGGTGAAGCCGTGAAGTACAAGAGCTCAATGGATGCCTTCTCTCAGATCTTGAAGAACGAAGGTGCCAAGTCTCTGTTCAAGGGTGCCGGTGCTAACATTCTCCGTGCTGTTGCTGGTGCTGGTGTGCTCGCCGGTTACGACAAGTTGCAGGTTATCGTCTTCGGAAAGAAATACGGATCAGGCGGTGCTTAGGCATGACTTCCTCCTGCTCAATCACAACTACTACTTGAGTTTGTAGATGTTGAAGAAGATCATGTTCGAAAAGAGTTTGGTGGATCCCTCGGTCCGGCGGTTTTTCTTTTACCTCAAATAATATTTAGTTTTTTGGAGGCTAAACAAACCCATTTATGAGATTGGAATGAATTTTTGTAGAACCTGTTTGATTAGTGTGGCAAACACTGCCACTCATTGTCTTCCTTTTTCAAAGTGTTCTGATCCAAATTAATCAAACCCATATTTTGTTACATTGATGAGAAATCATTACTCTATATAATGTTCCCATGTTCATCATTTCTATTGTCATAATGTTATTATTAATTTTGTATTTAATCCTATATATTTAAATTTTATTTAATAGACACATACTTTTAAAAAAACCTTCTATTCGAATAAAATTGACTTAATCCTTCAACCTTCAACCATAATGGCATAAAGTGAATGGTCAAAGTCAACAATGTATACGGAGTCAAAGTTAGGACCTAGAAAATTTTTTAATTAAAAATTTAATGCATAATTTGTAATTTACCATATTTGTCCTAAACAACAAAAAGATATAATTTGATGTGTTCCTATATGGTAATAAAATAATAAATTAATGATTCATAAATTTTCTTTTTGAAGAATATAATTTAACTAGAAATTTAATAAATAATTTAAAAATATTTGCATCGATTTATCCTTTTATTATTTTATTAATTATTTTTTTCATATTATTTATTATAAAAAAATTTGAATCAAATAAACTTGTCTATATATATATATATATAGAGAGGGATCTCAAATATATCGGGTGAAGGCCATGAAGTAGAGGCCCAACCCGGTGGAGTCTCGGCCCATTTAAACCTCTAATTGCCGATATCTCGTTCGTTGCAATATAAACCCTAAACTGATACAGATCTAAGGCCTCTCTCGGTCTGCAGTCTTCGCTTTTTTCAAACGCGACATTGTAGCCGCGGCGGACTCCTCCAAAATTCCCTCGCGGCCATCAGTTTCCTCCTAAGGTCCTCTCTTTCTCTTTTAGATCCATAATTTCTCTTTTAACTACTCTCAATTTCACTCTTAGATCCGCTAGTTCTTCATACTTGCACTTTCATTACGGTTTACTTTTGGTAAAAGTGACTCTTAACAATTCTTTCTTGTGCTTTTCTTTTTGGATCTGATCGGTCCCTGTTTGCTAATATTATGATTCCATGGATTTCATTTAGTTGGATTCATTGTTGGTTTTATTTTATTCGTTTCTAGATCAAGATCTGTACGTCGTGTTTATTTTTTCTGTTTGTTTACTGTATTTATTAGATGTTTACGCAGCTAGGGTAGTTTTGTTATTATTTTCGCTGATGTTCTTCAGTTTAACGAACGCTGGAATTATGATGTTGAAGTTAGTGAAGGGAATCTGTGATGTTATTTTTTTTTTTATGGTTTTGGTTTGGTTTGGTTATGATTTTTTTTTTTTTTTTTTTTGCCTAATATATTTTTACGACTTAAAATTTAACCTCTCGTTTTGTCATGATGTTGTTTACTATGGTCTCGTGGGGATGGTTTAATCTCAATTTGTAAGTAATTTTACTCAATTTTTGCTCTTGATAAGCGGGTTTCAATTACGGTTCTGTTCTTATGGATGGATGTGCTCTTTAGTTTATATGCCTCGAGCTGGATCTGAATCTGGTGTGTGTCTGTATCTTTTTTTTCTTTCTTATTTATCGTGTTTTTTTTTAGCGATTGGATATTCACAATGCATTAAAGGATCGGATGCCATTGTAGTATGATTTCTAACGTCATCTGCAGTTTCTCTTTTGTACACGGATCTGTTTGCAACGAGCTGTAGAATTGTTCACATTTTGCATCATTCCTTACGTATTTAATACTTTTTTCTTCAATTCTGCATAGGTCTCGTTTTCTTTTAATATCTTTCTGCCCTACCAAAAATAGAGCCTTGGTTCATTGCTGTGTGGATAGTGTCTCTTTGTCATCCCTTGTTTCTATTTTGAAATGTGGGTTAGTCATCATCTGACCAGGGCGTTGGGAATTATTGCAGGGAAGTAGACATGGCCGATCAGGTTCGACATCCCACCATCTATCAGAAGGTTGCTGGTCAGCTCTCCCTTCAGTCTGGTGTTGCTTCAGGTTTCCGAGCCTGTGATGATGGCTTCAGGAACCCTGCACTTTACCAGAGACGTGCATCAATCAGCAATTATTCTAATGCTGCTTTTCAATACCCTGCTGTGCAATCCTGCGTTGCTACAACTGATCTTTCTAGGGTTACCTCTACTGCCTCCCCCATTTTTGTTGCGGCCCCTGCTGAGAAAGGAAACTTTATGCTTGACTTTCTCATGGGTGGTGTCTCTGCCGCTGTATCCAAGACTGCCGCTGCCCCAATTGAACGTGTCAAGCTGTTGATTCAAAATCAGGACGAGATGATTAAAGCTGGACGTCTGTCTGAGCCATACAAGGGTATTGGTGATTGTTTCAAGCGTACAATCCAAGATGAGGGTTTTGGTTCCTTGTGGAGAGGAAACACTGCCAATGTCATCCGTTATTTCCCCACTCAAGTTAGTATTTTTCTTCCTTTGTCTGATTAGATCTCTCCTTTTTCTCAATTTTGTGTTGTGCTAATTGTTCTATTGAACTTTTTCCAGGCATTGAACTTTGCATTTAAGGATTACTTCAAGAGACTGTTCAACTTCAAGAAAGATAGAGATGGTTACTGGAAATGGTTTGCTGGTAACCTGGCATCAGGTGGTGCAGCTGGTGCCTCATCCCTTCTTTTCGTTTACTCTCTCGACTATGCTCGTACCCGATTGGCAAACGATGCCAAGGCTGCGAAGAAAGGTGGTGGTGGAAGGCAATTCAATGGACTGGTTGATGTTTACAGGAAGACATTGCAGTCCGATGGTATCGCTGGTCTTTACCGTGGATTTAACATTTCTTGTGTTGGTATCATCGTGTACCGTGGTCTATACTTTGGAATGTACGATTCTCTGAAGCCTGTTCTTTTGACCGGAAAGTTGCAGGTCAGTTTGCTTACGATTTGATTAGTTGTTTTGGGTAAACTTTGCCCATATAGTATGTCTGTGTTGAGATGTTCTTGCCATTTACTCCCATTTGTTTGGCTGCACAGGATAGCTTCTTCGCTAGTTTCGCCCTTGGTTGGCTGATCACCAACGGTGCTGGGCTTGCATCATACCCAATTGACACTGTTCGTAGAAGAATGATGATGACATCTGGTGAAGCAGTGAAGTACAAGAGCTCATTGGATGCCTTCTCTCAAATCTTGAAGAACGAGGGTGCCAAGTCTCTGTTCAAGGGTGCCGGAGCCAACATTCTCCGTGCCGTTGCTGGTGCTGGTGTGCTCGCCGGTTACGACAAGTTGCAGGTTATCGTCTTCGGAAAGAAATACGGATCCGGTGGCGGCTAAGGCGGGCCGTGTCCTCGAAAGTTGGGTTCAGTTTTCAAAGATTTGGACTTTTTTCCGGCGATTTATTTTGGTTTAATAATTTAGTTTCGAGGGAGTAATTCCCGAACTCAATTTAATATCTCCGTTTAAAGGGGCTATAATTTAGTTTTGGACTGAGATCATCCTGAGTTTTTAGATGTGTTTTAGAATCTCAAAATAATTTCTCGGACAACATAATGGAATTTTATTCTGTTTTTTTTTTTCTTTTATTCAACTGAGATAATAATTAGAATGTTCACTTGGGTGTTCCACTTTATTTAGATTTTGAACTTGTTTGTATCTTAAGAAGGTATCAGATCTGTGTTCATTCCATTGGTTTATAAGATTTTTTTTTTCTTACTAATGTACCCTTCATTAGTTTATTACGTCATTTGAGGTGATGTATTATGTGGTTTAATTAGATAATTGAAAATTTGAAGGGTTGATTGGATAAGAGTAAATAAAAATGAAAAGAATTCCGAAAATGTTGGGGACAAAAATAAACCCCCTCGAGAACGTAAAATGGAGGCATTTTTATTTATTATTCTGTTTAGTGTTGGGGTAAAAGGAAAGGCGATGCGTGGTCTAGGCTTTTTAGACAAAATTGTAAAAGGTAAAAAAGTGGGTCCCACACACCCACCCAACTCATCCTTGGTAAATTAAAACCTTCTCCTTCGTCTTGTCGTCTACCGATTTACAGTTTTCTTTTGTTTGATTTTACGTCTCTATAAAGATTTCATGGGAAACTGGGAAGCAGCCCCATTTTTCACTTTTTACCTCTATTTACCTTTTTTTTTTTATTTTATTTTATTTTATTTATTTATTTATTCTTAAAAAAAAAACAATACTCCACAATAGAGTCACGATCCTCAAACTTCATAGACCAATTATGGAACTAACAAAAGATATAGCCGAACGCATCTTTAAAACTAAAAAAACGGTCTTGGTCATTTTATGAATGGAGGCAACTAGTAGATTCTTCAACGTAACCAAAGGACCCACCGTTATTATCAAAGAAAAAAATCACTAATTTATAACTATAAAAACTAATTTTAAAACATAGAGAATATAAAAAAAAAAAAAAAAAAAAATTTGTATATATGTCAAAATTCTTCCTATTATTATTTTAATTAAGGTGCATATTTGAACCTTTGAGTTATTTAAATAATTAACTATATTAAAGCTATTTAATAGCTATTATTAGTATTTTCTCCCCTACTTTAGTCACATCAAAATTAGACAAAAATTAAAAAAAGAATTATTTTCATCTCTAAATTTTTTTTATTTAATTTATTTTATACTTGAAATTTTCAACCCAAAAAAAAAATATATATAATTATCAAACCCAAAAAAAAAATATATATATATATATAATTAATAATAAAAAAAAAGGAAGAAAATAGAAGAAATAACATAATTATGAGAACTAATCCCCGGCATTAGCGGGTTGACCCGTCCACGAATAATTGCCTTTTTTTTTCCTTTAAAATTTTAATTTTGTTAAATTGTTGACCACCTTTTTCCACCTAAGCAAATAATAAAATTAATTAAAAAAATAATTAAAAAAAAAAGAGAAAAAAAGAATTAATTCGTTGCTTGGGAGCAAGGTTTTGTAGTGGTCCCTCTCCATTGCCAACAATTTTTATTTTTTTTTTATTTTTTTTCCTTCACATGGAATTATGATTATGATTATGACCCATTTTCACTTGTTCTACACTCTCCCTAAACCCAACCTGTAATTACTATTATTATTTTTTTTTCATATATTAAATTCACAAATTATTGACGGATTTTATTATAATTTTGATATCGACATGTAATGTTACTCGTAATAGTGTCTTTATATTGGTTAGCATTTGTTGGGTTTAATCTTAAATTAACGGAAAATGGTGTTAAATATTTAAGCTAACACTTTGCTCGAAAGGCTGCTGCAAGATAACATAAGAGCGGTTACTCTTACGCTGACTTGATTCTCGATAATAAAAATTTGAAACATAAATAAAAGAAAACACTAGCCAACATGTGAGATCTCACATCGGTTGGAGAGATGAACAAAATCTTAAGGGGAAGCTCAAAGAGAACAATATCTACTAACAGTGACTTCAAGGATGTTAGAGCTAGACACAGGGCAAAGTGTTAGCGAGAATGCTGGGTTTCCAAATGAGGTGAATTATGAGATCCCACGTCTATTAGAGAGAAGAACGAAACATTTTTTATAAGAATGTGGAAAACTATATCTAGCATACGCGTTTAAGAAATCTTGAGAGGAAGTTTAGGAGTGAAAGCTAAAAGAGGACAATATATGACAGTAGTGTAGTTGAGCTGTTACAAATGATATAAGAGTCAGACACCGAGTGATATGACGGGGAGAATGTTGGCTCACATGGAGGTGGATCGAGATTTAAAATTTCATTTTGAGATAAGTGGTACGGGAAAAAGTGAAGGAGACGAAAAGGATAGAAATAATAATTAAGCGCGAAAAAAGGTAAGATAGTAAGAATGAATAAAATAGTAAAAGTTTTGGGAATGGAAGGACATAAGGGTATTGGGAGAAGACACAAACACAAAGCTACATACAACCAGACAAGGCAGTTGGTTTTGGTACTCTCAACTACTTGGACTTTTAGACCACAAAATTTCCAATAAAAATTAAAAAAAAAAAAAAAAAAAACCCAA